CTTCTTGTTGTTGTTATGGAAAGACAAGTCATATTTATTCATTCCCTTTACCCACATTGTTTTCAGTTGCAAAGGAAACAGATTGCATCTTCAAACTTCTTATATTGTTATGCTTGGTCATATTCAGTATGACAGAAGGGGAATACTGGAAACTGGCTTTTTAACAGAAGTGATTGGTAAATACATTGTCCTTTCACATCTATATTCTTCAAGCATTCTTCACTACTGCTGTCCTTAGTTCAGTAACATCTAAAAGTCCACTACAAGATAACATGATGATTTCATTATTTGAAAGGAGCTTCCATGTCCAAAGATAATAAAGCATATATAAAGAAGAAATGATGCAAAGCCTTAAACCTTAAAGCCGATAAAAAGCAAGAGTTTTATCTTTATATCCTGTATTTTGTTTGCATCAATGGTGCAATACATCACACTGTGAATTTACCTCTATTTCACTTCACAGGCTCTCTCTATTCATTCAACTAAGCGACGCTGACACTATATTCAGTTAAAACATCTCTAGACTATACAATTTGGACCTGATATGCTAGCAACAACAAAAGCCTTTCCTTCCTCAGACAGTGGATGTATGTCAATGACTTTTATGTTTGTATTAACGAAAAGCAACTAATGTAGAAGCAGTCTTGTTTTGGCAAAGTAAATGGGTAGAATTTTCCCTTCAGTTTTATGTTCTGCAATGATTAGATAAGTTATCCTTTAGAAGTGATTCTCTTCTCAGTAAATGTGATGGTTATTGATCATTATTAAACAGAACTCCCAATCTTTTCAAAAGAATAAAAGCAATGCTGGTTACTCCAAAATTTTTACATTTTGCTTCTCCTTTCTCTGTAAAGCTTCTATACAGAGGTGGGAGATCCTCCTGCATGATATCAACATTATCATAGGTCATTAGTGGCAGAAGAAGTCAACCCCAAATCAAGTAAGGACACAAAGTTCTTTCCCCAAATTTTGAATAACAATTCCTCATATCAAATGGCATACATGTTTTAAGAGAAATATGTTTCTATGGCAGGGTTATGCTTAAGGTATGGTACAAACCTCATACTGAATTAATCTCTTCTTGTATTTACAGCAGGTAGGTTTATACAGTCCAAATATATTGAGCTTATTATATACACACTTTTCTACCTATCTATTGTCATGATTCCGTGCCAGCCTGTGTTCCCAACAGCTCAGTCCGGGGAATCTGAGGAGGAGGTGGAGGAGGCATTTGGAGGGCCATCAGGGTCAGAGGGAGGCTCTGATGAATTACAAGACTCACGGTCTGATGAAGAGCCTGGCCCCTCCAGTCGTGTTACGGATGAAGCTCAGCTGTGTGGGGACAATGAGTCAGACTTGGAGGATTCACACTTGATGGACATGATTGATGCTCGTAGACGCAGGCAATTAGCGAGAGTAGATCAGCAACAGTCAATACAACAACTCCAGGGGAGGAGGAGAAGGCACTGAGAGGCAACGCCTTGGGACTGCTTTATAAAAAGGGAAGGTGTGGGCGGTGCTGGTTGCTGAAGGCAACCGTTGCAAAGTACTTCATGGGATCATGTTCTGTTAGTATTGCCGGTGACTACTTTTCTGTTTTGCATTGTGTTTCATGTGGACAATTTCCTCCATTTGGATTGTGTTTTGCTGCTTTTGTTTCTGGACTATTTGGCAGGTTTGTTACCCATATTAAAAGGGGTTTGTTTTCTTTTGAGTCTCCAGCCTATTTTCTCAACAGGGGTTTTGTCCTTGTGCCTTTAACAAGGACGGCCATAGGCTGGGATAGAACATCTATGCATAATAATACTGCTATAAGTAACAAGGATAATACTTAAAATGTTCTGTGTTCTAAATGCCACCTAATAGTCCAGTTCTTTCTCCAGACTACTCTGGTAGGGATGGACATCCTATTCTTTTCACCAGGGATTAGTGTTCTTATAGTTTATACTGTACTTTATAGTGTATCTTTTCTCCACCCTCCAGCTCCTATTCTTCAGTAGGTCCTGCCTATAGGTTGGTGTAGCCCAGGAGTTGTTTCCTTTTATCAATTTGCTTCACAGTATCTCAGTCCTTACCAGTTTATAAAAATGAGGATGAACAATTATGACTATTTGATAGCAGCTGTTTAGCCACCAAAAATGTTTAGATTCGATTTCCTTTATACATTATTGGCTTCGCCCTCAGCTCAACTCCCTTTCTCTCTTCCATTGACACCTTGTGCCACCAGCATTTCTCTTTCTAATCTCTTAAAGTCTCAGGAAAAACAAAACCATAAGGTAGGAAAGGTAGGCAGCAGTTTCAAGTTTTTCCTTTCCACACCAAACTCTGTGGAAAGGAAAAAAGGACCATTTTTTATTGAGAGTCCCTGTAAGTCTCCAGCGTTTTGGCCTTGCTACTTGTTTGACAAGGGGTCTAAAGTGTTATAAGAATTCACTGGGATATTTTGTTTTCTAGCTTGATGTTGAATGATAAACCTGTATGGTTGTAATACAAGGTATCATATTGAGATAATTTGGTGGATTCAAGTAAGTGGCTAATATCAGTAATGACTTGGAAATTCCATCTCCACAGATCAACTTTATGCTTTTCAATAGCTCATCACAGTGCCAAAGCTTTGTTTTCAAAAGCACCGTATGCTTGCTGTTGCGGTGCCAGTTTCTTGGCCAAGTACAGTACAAGACAATCAAATATTTGTTCACACAGAGGAATTCAATGCAACTTGTTGGGTTCTGCCTTCTATGTAGTCTGTAATTGCTTGAGCATGGGTGGCAAAATGGGGGAATAAAACCTCCATAACAGCATAACACACCTAAAAATTATGTAGTTTGCTTTTTGGTTTCAGGTAAGTCTGTTTTCCCTAGGGCTGGTAACTTTTCCATGTTTTGCTTTCTCATTTCCTATTGTGTAATGTCCAGTTGATATTCTTCTGGGTTGTGATCAGGTGGTCAGACCTGATTCTATTAAGCATGTTATGATTTTCTCTAAACATTTTAAACATTCTCCCAGCTTTCATATTACATGACTATGTCATCTAAATATATTTTATACCAACTACCTTATCCTGGAAGAATTCTATTCATAAGCCTTTGGAAGGTAATTGATGTCCCATTTTTTACATTTTTTCTAGACTTATAAAGATTTAAGGATAGCAAATGTTTTTCCTCCCTCTGCATTTATTTTCTAACGGAATCTGTCAATAATGTTTGGTCAGATTATATGTTGTAGAGAGTAAGGAGGATGACAGGGAGAGAGAAATCCATTACCAAAGCAATGAGGATGAAAACACTGATTAAATCCAAATAGTGAAGATGATATACATAAACTTCTCAGATGGACACACCACTAATTCTCAGTTTAAGAAAGGAAGGAGGTAAAATATAATCAGACTTCCAAGATTCAATTACTGTAGGCAACCTTAATAGAAGTAGCCTTACTCTTAAAGTTGAGTTGATTTGTCTGCTCTACATCTTCGGGTTGACAAGTGTTGAAAGATATTTGACATTGCCCAATTAACTCATAGTGGCACAGCGTAACCATCAAATTTAGCTACTTTATGAGTTTTACTTTCCCCAGTGTCCTAGGTCCCCACAGAATTTTTTTAAAAGAGAAGTGTACTACAAAAGGAAAGAAGAAAGATTGGTTATGATGAGCCTATGTAAAATGGGATGATTGCAAATTGTTGATTTCTGTTTATTTAGGAAAAGTTTATACGCATTTTAAAAAAGTCACATTAATCATTTTGAACATTATCTCATTAACAGATCACTTGGAATACTGCATCCAGTTTTGGTCACCACGATATAAAAAAGATGTTGAGACTCTAGAAAGAGTACAGAGAAGAGCAACAAAGATGATTAGGGGACTGGAGGATAAAACATGTAAGGAACGGTTGCTGCAATTAGGTATTCTAGTTTAATTAAGAGAAGGACGACGGGGGATATGATAGCAGTGTTCCAATATCTCAGGGGCTGCTACAAGGAAGAGGGAGACAAGCTATTCTCCAAAGCACCTGAAGGCAGGACAAGAAGCAACAGATAGAAAGTAACCAAAGAGAGAAGAAACCTAGAATAAGGAGAAACTTCCTGACTATTAGAACAATTAATCAGTGGAACAACCTGCCTCCAGAAGCTGTGAATGCTCCAACACTGGAAGTTGTTAAGAAGAGATTGGACAGGGGGTTGGACTAGATGACTTCCAAGATTCCTTTCAACTTTACTATTACTACTACTACTACTACTACTACTACTACTACTACTACTACTATTATACAAATTTGACCTTGAAAAAGCTCCTCTGACTGAGAAAAATGGCGATCCAAATTCAAAACAGTTCAATTTCAAAATATTTTTGGACAGCTTTAGTCACCCAAGTGATTCATGAAAATGTATTGGTTGAGTAGCTCCCCCCAACAAATATGTATATCATATTTAATCTTAATTATCATGTTGTTTATTTATTTGATTTATACTCCACATTTCTTTTATGAATGCTCAAGATGGCACGCCCTTTGTTAGAATTATAATAAGCTTTATTACATTATAATAAGCTTTATTCCATTATAATTGATTGTGAATAAAATAAAAATTACTCCATAAAAGACAAACTCCACAGATCCTCTCTGTGAAAGTTAAGTGCAGAAATGTAGTGAAAACTACTCTTATGAAATGTGAAAAAGAAAAGGCATATATGTACATTTGATTCAGACTCTAAATCCTCTTTTAAAAATGTCCACATGGAATTGGTTGCTCTTTCAGGCTTCTTTAGCTTTTGCTTTATGGAATTCAGAGAAACTTGCTGATGAATATAACAGCTTAATGTCTCAGCAGTTCACAGAAACGTAAGAGCCCAAGCATAATAGCTCAATCAAATCTTATTCTATCAGTCTTTTTGAACCTTGGCAAAAGGCATTGAGAACATTTTGATTTCAGTTCAAGTCATGGATAAATGTATTTCTAAACTGTTGCTTTGAAAGTAGGGAAAAATTGATATTATATATATACCTTTATAACTTCTTTTAATTTCTTCTGCCATATAGCTTCAGCAACAGAAATGTACTTGCTGTCTGTTACATAACAATTTGCCGTGAGTACATGATGGAGTTCAGCCTTCAGGTTCACGGCTTTCAGGACTCTTTCAACGTGGTTTAAAGACATCAGAGCTTCTTTTTTGATGCCACCCTTTGTAAGTTGCATAGTGCAGGGTACTAATGCAATTTGTCCAGCACAATACAGAGTATCTTCAACCTAGAAAAAAACAATAAAGAAAACAATTTTTAAAAGAGTGTAATTATTCCATATTTTCTAATTAAAAGTTACCATCTTTAACTTAAGTAAAAATATATCAGTCTGAAGATAATTTCTGGCAGGGATTTAGCTGCACTGTAAAAAAGATAGCATTGTATCACATTTGGATTTGGAAAGTTAAATGTAGATATTTACATATTCATAACTAGTCTCAGACAAATCGCCAATGAACAGACCAATCTAGAAATATGTAGACTAACATAATGTCATAATATTTCCAAGGTATCAGTATGAAGACTTGTGTCATGTTTGAAGTAAATTTGTTTACAATCTGTCAACTAGGAAGGAGAGAGGGGAAGCTTTAAATGTTCTAATTTACAAGAATTCACTTTAATTTAAGGCAGAGTTGATTCCCAAGGTTTCATGAACCCCCAATATAGTGATATACTATACAATGAAAATGTGATATAAAATTAACCAGTAGCTTGAATTAAGTTAACGTACCTACTATTTTATGTAAACTGTTAGCAGATCATTATGTTTTTCTTATTTTGGTATTTTACATAAAAAGTTTAAGGGAGTTACGGTATATTTTGTCTTTGTTCTTGAATGTCCAAGATAATAGTATAGGCCATCAATGTTTTCTGTCAGCTTATCATACTTGCTAATGAAGCAATTTCAAGAATAAACAGACTTAGCCTCAATCATTTATGCAATGGTTACATCAAGGCTTGGTTCTTTCAATGTATTTTATGTTGGTTTGGTCCTTAGAGAGTGCTAGAAGCTTCTGTTTCAGAATGTGGCTGGCTGCCAGGATTTTGACTACAGTCACAAAAACACCTTGTAGTACACTGCTTATTACTTGCTTTCCTGGTTATCAATTTTTTTGCAGATGAATTCATGTTCCTTGTTTGGACTTGAAAACCAGATAATTTGGAATTCCCTCCCTACCAGCCTCAAGTCCTGCTATGCTGTGTCATCATGGAAAATGAGGAAGTAGGTGTTCCTAAAAAGCATGAGCCAAGACTGGCAAAGTATATGTGAAAAATATGTACTCCCAGCACAGTAATTCAAGGTATGATGGTCCTCCCAGGTCTCCAATTAAAGCAAACAGGTACCTATATTGGGCAGAAGAGATATAGGAAAATGCTGGTTAAAGATGATCACTTCAGTGACAATAGCAAAGGCATCATTTCATTCTGCAGTGGGAGAAGGAAGTAGTAAATCATTCCTGAACTTTACCAAATAAACTATTTAGATAGATAAAATAAATTGAGTGATGCTTTAGTGCCATATGATGAAACCATCAGGTCAGATATCATTTAACATCCTAATGAAAAAGAGCTGAAGATCTTTTGGAGTACTGATATTATTTATGATGTGGTTAGATTAAAGCTTTTGAGACATCTTGTTGTCAAAGGTAGACATATAGAAAAGGAACATCCAAAGATGCAAATAAATAATTACAATGGGAACATGAAATGTAAGTATCATGAACTTGAGGAAGTTCAACATAGTGAAAAATGAAATAAATCAACTACACAATGATACCTCAGGCATCAACAAAGTGAAATAGATGAGAACTGGACACGTTCAGTTAAAAATCATATTGTTTAGTACTCATGAAATGAAAAAGAAAGAATATTGTTGCTTTCCTTGTTGGAGCGGATATAGCAAAGCCTGAATAATATCAGTTAGGCTCATTATCTATTCATAGTTCAACTACTAACTCAGAAGAAGGGGATTCTGACAGGTTTTATGGTCAAATTAATCTGAAATCAAAATAACATGCAAGTATAAATATAAAATATATATTAGGCAATTAACATACAGTTTTATCTAGCGGTTAAGGCATTAGACTATAAACCAGGAGACTAGGAGTTCTAGTCCTGTCCAAGCATGAAAGCCAGCTAGGTGACTCTTGACTAATTACTCTCATTGTAGCTTACGTCACAGCGCTGTAGTTTGTGGGGAAAAATAGGAGGAGGAAAGAGTATTAGGTTTGTTTGCCACCTTTTTTATATATATAATTAATATATATATATAATTAAAAAAGTAAATATGTTGCTTATGGTTAGAGACTGAGATGTCAAAACTGGAAATAGTAATCAAGAAAACGTACGGCTTAGGAAACAGATATGAAGCAGTGCAAGTTGCTATGTGCAAGTTCCAGTCAAATTAAGCAGAACAAAATTAACGAGTTTCTACAATATGATCATGAGCATATACCCACTTTTTCAAGAACATAAGGAATCACTTCGAAGTCCTAACTTTGATACAGAAACAGAGGAATTGCAGAATGAAGTTGTTAAGTATGTATGTGAAAAGAGACTGCCAAAGATGTAGAAACCGAAGAAATCAAATTGGTATCAGAACAAACAGAGGGAATTGCCAAGAAGAGAAGCCAAAGTCAGTAAGGCAGGCAAACATCTCAGGAAGAAATTTGATTTTACGTACTAACGTCGGGGATCATTCAAGGCAGATCAGAACTGTTCATAAAACGAGGGATCCCAGATGTTCAAGGTGATTTAGAAAAAGCTGAAGATTAAGAGGCATTATGACTGATGAATGTTGGATAATTGCAAAACTCAAGGAATACCCCCCCAAAAAAGAAAAGATCAAGGTGTGCTTTACTGATTATAGAAAATCTTTGATTACATTGACCATGTCAGGCTGTAGAATATTCTTGGGAAAATGGAAATCCGAAAACATCTCATTATCCTCATGGAAAACCTATACACAGCACAAAGTGACAGTCTTGATGGAATGTAGTATAACAGACCAGCACCAGGTTTGCTGAGAAATGCAATATGATTGTACCTTATTTATTCCACATATATGTTGAATATATACTGAGGAAGGTTGGACTGGAAAAAAATGAGCATGGTTTTTAAATCGGAAGAAGAAACATCTATAACCTATGTTATGCTATTCTGTATCTAAAAATCCAGATGATCTGCCAGCTCTAATGATGAAAATCAAGGAATAAAATTAAAAATGGAGCAATGATTAAATATAAAGAAAATAAAACTAATGACAACAGTAACCAGCCTTAGAAGTTGACAATGAAAATCCTGAATTGGTCAATAGCTTCTAACTTTTAAAGATTTATTTTCAAGAGCAAAGGTACTAGTAATCAAGAAATATTGCCTTAGGCTAGAATCGGATAGGACAGCAATGAAGGCCAGGGTTGCAATGAAGGCCTTGGAACAAATATTCAGATTTTGTGTCACGTCTATTCATACAGAAATCAGAATTGAGCATGCTCAGATTATTATACTTTGGATACATTATGCAAGACCCAAATCCTTTGAGAATTCCATAATACTGTGAAAGATGGCAGGAAATATAAAAAAAGGATGACCAGAAGGAAGGAGAGTAGACTCAACTGCAGTTATGATTGGGTGAACAGTCGGGAGACCTGAAGGGACCCATTGAAGATAGATCATCCTGAAGAGGCTCTAACTAATATGACTGCTAAGAGTCAGTACTGACACAATAATCACTCAATCATTTTGAAACCATAATACATCAAGAATCTATTTATACACATGAACTTAAGCAAGAATTCATTTTCAATAGAATGACCAGGCTTTGCAAAACTTCAAGCTGCCCTCAGTAATACTTAATTTTGTTTAATCTCTAATTTAAATAGGACTTTCTTAAGATTATTGAACAAAGAGTCAGCTTGATTAAGTTTTGTGATTGTTTATATACACACACACACATATTGTTTTTAAGTCGTGTTAAATCATTTGAAAGCAGAATAAGTCTTCAAAGCTAACAAAAAGTACTTTTTTTCATTTCTAACACCACTATCCAGTCCATGGGTTAGAAATTTACAAATTTTGATATGAAATATTTGAAATACATCTTCCTCAATGATTGAGAATCATCTACAACAGGCATGTCAAACTACTGGCCCGTGGGCCGGATGCATCACACCGAAACCACACCCATCCCATTGCCGGCAATGGGGAAAAAGTTATGATACGTCGTGCGGCATCATGTGACGTCGCGAGTTTGACATGTCTGATCTACAAGTTCATCACAAAAGCCAACTAATATCACAAAAGAAGTGGAGTATCTGTCAAAAAGTCTTTTGTTTCTATAGGAAAGAGAAAAATGTGGGTCTGCTCTTTCCAATAGCAGTCTGACATTGTTTATCACATTTGTAGTTTCACAGCCTCTCCTGTAGCACAAAAACTGGTCTCATGTTTAACCGCTGAATCCCCTGGAAAGACTCACCAAGTACACTCTTTTCCAACTCCAATAGATTTTATTTTTATCAAGCGTGCTACTAAACTTCCCCAGTTCTCCTCCTTCACTGATTCAATAATGCCCAAGGGACATTTCTAGCTATGAACAAACAAGCAACTATTTTGTTTGACACTGTGAACTGCTCTACTTTGCTCCTTGCATGAAACCAGTAACCATCCAGAATGATAGATTCTATACAGATAACTTTACATAATATTTATTGAACTCAACGGGCTACCCATTTTAAACCAAATGACTCTCGGCAGTGAATAATTCTGAAACAAAACAATTAGAAACAGAACAGTGGTGGCACAGTGGTTAGAATGCAGTACTGCAGGCTACTTCTGCTGACTGCCGGCTGCCAGCAGTTTGAATCTCACCAGGCTCAAGGTTGACTCAGCCTTCCATCCTTCGGTAAAATGAGGACCCAGGTTGTGGGGATAATATGCTGACTCTGTAAACCGCTTAGAAAGGGCTATAAAGCACTGTGAAGCAGTATATAAGTCTAAGTGCTATTGCTATTGCTAAAATAAATATATATAGCAGATAAGAAAATTATCATAAGAAATTGTCAATATAGCCACTAAATGGGCCCCTTAACACATTTGAGATTTCAGGCCTGGGCACATAGTCCAGGTTTTTAAAGAAAAGACTAACAGGATTGGGCCATCCTAATTTCTGAAGAATGTTCCAAAGGGCAAGGGGCTACAGTGGAGAAAGGATGTTTCCTGATCGCTGCC